TCTTCCGAACAACCAATGATACATGGAAAATCTTGAAAATGATCAGGGGTGCCCAAACTTTTTAATACCACTGTATAAACAGAGTACAATTTTCTACTTGTGGTATGCTAGTAATTGTAGGACAGCGAGATGCAATATTAAAACTGACAGTCAGTCAATAGAGAAAATCCTTGGTGGCTTCATATTACCAAAGAACTAGTCAAACCTTAAAATAATGGTCAATCGATCCTTTCCCCTCAAAATCGATGAAACGTTCTGAATGACATGTACTTTAGCTACGGCTAAATGTTATAGCTACGTAGTCATAGCTGAGAAACTACAAAAGTAATGAGGCCTGCAATTACTTCCGTAACAACAAAGGGGGGCGTATGCTTTCACAGACACAAGGTTTTTTTTTTAAAGGCGCAGGTAGATGGCGTAGCCTGCTAGCACTACGCAATTTAACTGCATTGGAAAGAGCTTAGCTGATGTTTCCACAAAACGTGTCCACCTCTTGTTTATTAAAGGTGTTTCTGTCCAAGATAGAGCTATGTAAACTTACATTTTATTGTAGGAAAAAATAATTATATTCACATATAATAATGTACGTGTACTTCTTAGCATGAAAACAAATGGGAAAAACATGGACTTATTGATATTCATTGGTAATTATGTTATGACTGTACTGGTCCGGCCCACTTGACATCTAATCAGGCTGTATGTGGCCACTAAATCAAAATGAGTTTGACACCCTGGTCTACACTTTTATATAAAAAGAAAAATGGATAATAATATCAGCAGAGTAATGTTTCTACTGGGCTTCCTTTAGCCAACATGAATCGTAGTGGGTTTTTTCGAGGTACGCTTCAGGGCAGGATCATCGGTGTCAGGAACTGTTTTCTGTTTTATCATCAAACACAAAAGCTCTTTTTAGACCACCTGCTCTCCAGGTGTAGTCACATGAAAGCACTGGTCTCTGCCATCAATTTATTCCACCTGTACGACTGAGAGACACAGAAGCAATATGAATATACACACACACACACACACACACACACTGATGAATGGAGAAATAGACATAAAACAACAGAGGATAGAGGCTTACATCAATAATGGGCTGTGTGTGAGGCAGATAACAAAAGTCCTCCGAGGCGTCGAAACAGATGAGGTTCGCCGAGACTCAACCCTTGGAATAATAGTAATAATCTGCTGAGCTGTAAATGAAAAGTCAATTTCACACGCTGATTTAAACACTTCATATGTCTAAAGATAACTGGGCTCAGAGCAAACCTGTGAAACCAAGGGAGAAGATTTAATTATATAACCAGCGACAGTGGAAAATGATATTTATCGTTGGCTGAAATATTCACTTCACTCACAGTATACGGTGACAAGTAATCCAATTCCTCCTCATGCTTAAAGATATTGGCTCCCTTATAGCTTCTAAAGCTAATGGTGTGTATATGATAAGGATCCATACTACACTCATACACAACAACACTTCAAAATGGTCACACATACAACAGATGTCTGGCTCAGTGTGAAGTCAGAATAAAAACCCAAATCACTTACTGTAATGAAACATTCATCATGTGCAGGTCAGTGATGATTCAACGCTGCCAGGTTTGAGGCTAGGTGTCCTGCTGAGGTTACTCATGTTGAAAATGTCAGCACACACATGGCTCCTTGACAAGCTCCGGGTACTTCTTACGTCAGCTGCAGATTTACCACATACTGTATATTCAGGTGCTGTGGTTATCTGCCATGTTAACTCTTTCTAGGTCCTGGACCAAACTCCATAAAGAAAATTCACATTCTAGGCTCACAGTAAAACAGCTGCAATTTAGACGAATAATATTTTAAAGTGACCTGGTGATATTTCTCAATGTTTTCTTTTGAGCAAAACTATTTAAGCAAGTACGGTAATTTGTCAATTAGGCAAATTGAACTCAACTTGATGGATGGATGGATGGATGAATGGATAGATGGATGGATGGATAGATAGGTAGATAGATTATTAGGGGTTGTGCAAAATGCTAAAGCTCCAAAACTACATCCTTAATAACTCATTACAAACAATAGTTTCTGTTTCATGCCCATGCTTCTAAATCACTTACAGGATAATCGTTATAAAATTATTGTGAGAATATTCGACTAGTATGTTTTGCTGTAATTTGTGTCCTTATTAGTATGTTTTGCTGTAATTTGTGTCCTACTCCTGTCTCATGACCTACGAACCGGCGCTGCGACCAAGGGTTAGAGACCCCTGATGTATACAACATTTTTAGTAAAATGACATCTTCATGATTGAAAATATAATCCTCAGGGTTGATAGGTTAGATTTTTTTTTTTCACACAGCAACATGTTCTGTTTCTCCTCCATCACAGGTGATTGTTACCTGATGGAATGGTCTGACTGGAGTCCTTGTGCCAGCATCTGCATCAAAGGATCTGACATGGACTTTGGTGCTGTTCAAGCTCGTTCCCGAGCCGTTCTGGCCCAGGAGCCAGAAAACCTCCAGCTGTGTCCAGACCAGGCCTGGGAGTCTCAGTCCTGCACTGGTGAGTCCTGCCCTTCTTCCACGACAGTCTTGAGATTTAGACATATACATTTCAGAGAGGTGAGAAATGTTTTCATGTCGAGGATGGTGGAAAGGTGAGGTTCAGTTGGATTGCAGGCAGAGGAACATGACAGACGGTTTGACAGTACATCTAAGGACTAACACAGGAAGATAATAGGATTCAGGGTCGTACCTTCAGGCCAGTTAGTCTACCATCTGTTTGAGCTGTCACATTAGAAGTGTCAGAGGAAACAGAAGAACCAGCACAAGAAAAATATGATGAGACTCAGGAGAGAGATATTTTTAGTGGGGAAAAAAAAAGATGTATTTTTTTGCTGCCAGGCGACAAAATCTTGGCCGCAGGATTAAGTATGACATTGGAGGTTGACATCAAAGGGCCATGAGGTTTCACCTGGACAGTGGCGGATACACTTGTAAACAGAGGTGAAATAAGTACTAAAAAAAAAAGTAAAAGTATCTTTACATTGCTTAAATTTTATTCAAGTAGAAGTAGAGTAATAGTACTCATCTAAAAATCTAGTCGAGTAAACGTAAAACATTTTTATTTTAAAATTAACTTTGAGTAAAAGTTACTTAGTCAACTTATCAATTCAAATACAAATACTTTGTGACAACTATGAATGTTGGATGCTGTTTAACTACCTGACTACGGCATGAGGTGCCTCCCCCATATTTATTTATTTATTTATTACAGTTCTAACTTTTAAAAATTATATTACAGTGTGAGGGAGAGTGTCGGACATTATCTTTAATGGTTGTTTACTTGAAAATGTCTTCACACCACTGCTCCAATTATTTTTCTTATATTGGGAATCCTTGGATTCTTTTGTACTGTTTATCTTAGTGAGACAGCTTTGAAAACATTAAAAAAAAAAAAAAAAAAAAAAGCTTAAAATTCACCCACTCAAATTTCTCTAAGGATTTTGCTATGGTTTCATGAGCGCATTACAACCTTCATCTTCCAACCAAGAAAGACTGACGTATAGAGAGTAGAAAACTGTATTTTTATGATATTATAGATGTGATTTATATTTTATGAGATGAGTCTTTTGGTAAGTGGATGAAGTAAAAGAGTCAGGCTCCACTGTAGCTCCAACGGAAATGGCAGAGCACTTAGAGAAGTCGGTGAAGTCTGATACTCTCTAATGTAATATCGCCTTTAACAATTCCTCAATAAACTCCACCTATCCCTTTAAGCAAAGGCCCTAAAACATACATCCTACTTCTGCTTAATGGCACAAGTACTCAGGTGAAAGATGCAAAACCTGAACTGCGTTGGCATCTTTGGTGGTGATTTTTTTTTCTCTTTAGACACAACTCAACAACAATGCAACAATGATCTTTTCCTGTTCTCCTTAACTTCCATCTCTCCCACCCTTTTCTTCTGATGTCGTAAACATCATGAGAGCAGCCATCATCAGCATGACCTGGATACACTGCATCACCGAGACAAGTGCAGGAAAAGTTAAAGGAAGGCAGGGAAAGGGGATGCAGACGGAGAAACTGAAGCAGGAGTCGGGGGAGTGAAGTAGTTTAATTTAGTCACTATAGAGTCACTATAAGAAAAAAAAGAAAGAAACAAGATATTCCTCTAGTGACACCATTTGAATTTCTTGAGGGATTTTAAAGTTTACTATAAAATATTGAGTTGTTGAGTTGTCACTGAAAATGTTACAAAAGTCATAGTTAAAATAAAGTAAAACTAAAATTGGAAGGAATGGAGAAAAAAGGACAATTATTATAAAGTATACTTAAAATAACTGAATATAGAGTTTAAAAAATGTCACATATAACCAAAGAATGGCTTTGATTTAGTCAATATGAAGAATCCAAATATTGTCTAAATAGTTCACTGACAAAACAGTTTGATTAAACAGCTCAGAAAATATTTTTATGTAGTATGTACTTATATAGTATTTACTTCAGCGGTTCCCAAACCTTTTTGGCTTTTTTTTTGCTGAGCTTTTAATTTTAAATGTTTATTTACGAATTTATTGTGTGGCGAAAAAAAAATCCTCGCACACTCCCTACTGGCAGGTCGTAGACACCTTTGGCAATACCAGATCTACTGCAAAGTAGAGCTGCTTTTATCCAAGTGAATAAAATGTCCTAACAGACCATAAAGGTATTTTCAAACAGAAATTTCGACTCACAATAAACCTGTCCATGTGCCACTGCTGCCCCCGGAGGCCTTACTTAGAACCAGCCTGCAGTGAGTGTTGTCTTTGAAGAAGGTTAAACATTTAAAAGAGTGAACAGAAAAAGGAATGAGTCCACAGGGAAATCCAGGCTTTTACTACCCTGATGGAAATATTGATAAAATCATAAAAGCACTTATAAAAAGTCATTAAGAAAAAAAAAGCTCTTAGTGCAGATGGAGACGTTGAACTGGACCTCAGCGAGGAGACACTGTGATAATGATGTGATATAAAAAGACAGCAGCTGATTATTAGAAAGCATAACTCAGCAGCTGCTTTGTTCATCTGTCACTGCTGGTATTAATGAGGCTCCCAGTTGCTGTTTCACAAACTATGCATGTTTTTCGTTGTTTTTTGCCTGCAGGGGGCGACTGTTACGAGTACAAGTGGCTGATCAGCGTTGACCCGAACTCCAGCCGTCCTCTGATCTGGTGTCAGCGCTCAGATGGACTCAACGTCACAGGCAAGACGTGGACGTCATAGTAGATTAGTTTGTCAGTTATTGAGTTATAAAGATGTTATATCTTTTGCTTTGTCTAATTTTAGCTAATAATTTGTGTTTGGCTGCATTTCCTCACTATTTACTCTGTATTTCTGAATAATTGTTAGAATATTGGCCTACATTTACAAATTATGGTTCCCGTGTTACTTTTTAGCATTTTGCCTTAAGCTACTGTGCATGTAGCTATCCTTACAGTACTTTTTATATATTTAAATCACTTGTTAAACCTCCACGCTAAAAACAACAGATCTAGCTAATTTTAGCTAATTAGCCTAGCTATTTAATTTTCTTTTTTTTAATCTTCCACCCAAAACCATGTGACCAGGATTCAAAAACGTAACTATAGAACAAAAGTTATTTGGACGTGAAAGGCAAATTAGCAAAATAAGTTAAAAATCTGTGCATTTTCTTAGTGACTGACAGAATGATCCACGTCTAGGTAATAGTGCTAAGGGTTTCACATGAGGCTGACAAGAACAATCAGCTTAGTATTTAGTCATTTCTTAAATATTTGACAAAGGGGAAACCCTCTTTCCGTCACTCTGCAGGAGTCGTCTCTGATTTAGTTTAGTGTGAATATTTTACCTGCTTCTCTAAAAAGGAGCCGACAGATCAACTGGGGCCACAGAGAGCCTTCTCTACTCTGTCTACTATGATATACTGTGTTGACATATATTTTAAATAGGGCTCTCTGATGTTAACTTTTTGCCGATATCCGATATGCTGATAGTGTCCAAACACTTACTTTCCGATATAGCAGGGCAGTAGTCACTAAGGTGATTGGTTAAATCAGTTTTTTTCCATTATTTTCTGCCATGCCCCCCCTAGAGGACAGAAGTTTTTACTCCCCATTTATTTATCTGTACAAACCCTGATTGTTAAAATAGATTAATAAAATAAGCTGCAATGCTCTCATCTAGTGGCTTTCACTTACACATGCAGCTGTTTTCCCCCAAAACTATTTTAGGGCACACCTCACTTGGTAAATCCAGGCATTGAGTGATCGGGTTTTCATTATTGAAGGGAATACCAATAACGGTTTTTACAGATATTACATAATAATGCTAATATCAGGCCGATAATAATGGTTAGCTATTAGATATGATTGGACATCCCTAATTTTAAACAGCCAACAGCTGCCTTTTTATTACAAGATGGTTGTGTGGGGAAAATTCCACTTACAACCTAATTTTATAGCTGTTTATTCATTTCTAAATTGTGAAGCAGAGGTGTTGATGGCAGCTGCATTTACGTAGGAATTTACACCAGCCTGTCAGAGATACACAGTGTTATTGCACAGTGTTCTGTAAAAAGAAAAAAAAAATCATTACTATAATAAGCCCTGTTTCCTTGTTGAAAGCAGCCTGATTTTCTCTACAATTAAATGTCAGCACACTGTTACACAAACATTAGGGACAAGCCCTGGCTTCAAAGGCTGCATGGGTTCATTAACAAAATAATAATAAAAAAAACGCAACAACACTAAAATTAGGCTAATTACTCTCTGAAAAAAAACAACCACACTAAAATTAGGCTAATTACTCTCTGTGATTGTTGCTGAGGTCCTGAAACAGAATTTGAAAGTAGCTTGAGTGAGGACCACCGCACAAGACCTGAGATCATTTTAATGTACAGTAGAATATATACATAGAACCGCTGACCTAGAGGTTTATTGACTATTGTTAATAGCTTCGACTCCAACGCAAAAGTATTTTTCACAAGGATGAGGATGATATCGATGATGATGATGAAGGTTATTACGCTGAATAGTTTATTAAGGATAAAGACAATGCGGACTACCATAGCACGGTAGTACTGTAGGATCATGTGATAATATTAATAATGATGTTGACAAAAGTCAAAATGATTATGATGATGATGATTAATAAAGAAGGCATTTCCTGAAAATAATGAGGAGGGAGGAGATATTGGTGACAAATAATAATAATAACAGTGGCTACAGTGATGATCATTGGAGCAGCCCCTGAGCCATGGGTACAGTAGCAGGCTTGTGATAGCAGAGTTGACAGTTTGAATTTACATTCATCACACCGATGGTTTAAAATGACATTTCAATGTGTGAACTAATGTGTAAAAATGTCTTAGAAGGGTCTTCTTTGTCAGTGTGGATGATAATGATTATGATTATAATGAGCAGACCATGGTAATGACAGTGAGAATGAGGATGATTATAATGGGGATAATAATCATGATAAAGACGTCTATAACCACGTTCGTTGTCTTATCTTCCTCCGTAGGAGGCTGCCTTCCCATCAACCCTCTGGCAACCAATGGTTCCTGTGACCCTCCGTGTCTCATGCCCAAGTCCTTCTGCAGTGAGGTAAGGTCATCTTACCGATTCACAAGAAAACAAATAAAATAAAAGAATGGTGAGACTTACTGAGAGTGCAGGTTTTGGAATATGGCTGAATGACATATTCGGAAATCGCACTGACACACAAACATACTTTGCGGACAGAATTGAATTTAAAACCCGGCAGAGAATGAAATGGTGGCATTATGGAGATGTGAAAGCTATTTCTCTGAAGTGTCACTCATCCGTCCGGCAGCAGAGTGGAGGATATAAAATCGGTTTGTCCAGCAAATGCAACAAACAAACAAACAAAGACACTCTAGGTGGTCAAATCTTCTCACTTCACTTCATTCCTTCAATCAATTGTAGTTTTGAGCAGTAGCAGCTGCTTCTGTTAGCTGACTGTTCAGACACTTTATAACCACAGAATAAACAGGTTTGATTCCTCTAGAGAAAATACATTTAAAAGGACAGTGAAGAGATTATAACGTTTCATAACTTGTATTCAGTATTAAAAAATTATCATCCAGGTTAAGTTGATGTTATTCCTGGTACCATTACCTATGAGGAAATACATTTTATGTTTCTTTGTTTGTTTTTCAGTTTTTCCCTAATATTCTTATTGGTCCTGGTCCTGGAATTACTTTTTTTATTTTTGGCAGAGGATCTTATCATAAAAACACACAGTGCCTGATTCAGCTCTTAGTTCTTGGTATTTCTGTTACTTGTTTAAAGGAAGTTATATATAATGCAGACAATTAAAAAAAAAAAAAAGCTCCAAAGCTGAAGTAAATGTTAAAATTTCCAGATAAATGTGGTTCAACAAATCGGTTGCTTCACTTTTTCTCTTCCACTCCACCTGAAGCGGCTGCTCATGTTAAACGTTGTTGCACACTGCCCTCTGCAGGCTGGCGATTGCATCTGTGAGGAAGGATTCACAGAAGTGCTGTCACCCCTGGGTCTCCTGGATCAGTGTGCCCCCATTCCAGTGCTGGAGATCCCCACAGAGGGGGACAGGAAGGGGGACGTGAAGACCAGCCGAGCTATTAATCCCACCCAACCTGGAACTGTTCAACCTGGGAGAGCGGGACGCTCCTGGTACTTACAGCCATATGGACCAGGTGAGAATACTTTACGCTGTGTACCAGTCATGGTGAGTTAAAACGATCTTTATACATATATATGTATTGTATTTAATGAAGGAGCCATAAAACAGCTGATTTAATTCTAATTTATTTATTTTTAAAAACTGGTGGTGTCTTTATTGTCAAGAATTAATTTAAAAAAACTGGTGGTGTCTTTATTGTCAAGTGGAGACAAGAGAGACAGCAGTCCATTACAAATGAATTACAAGTAACAGAAAGCTAAATATAGCACAGAGCTCCACTGTCATGTTGAAACCTGGTTATTTTTGCCCTAAATTGTGTTACAATTTGAATGATCTGCGTGTCTAGCAGCAGCCATAGATAAAGGACAGTTTCTGCCGCAGATTTAGGTACTGTAACTGCTTTCACTAAACTGTCATGAATGGAAGCTAACCCTGCTTTCGTTTTTTTTTTTTCACTTCTCCAACTTTTTCTAATATTATTCTCACTAATGTTTAGTTATAAAATGTTTCAATAACCAGTCCTCTATTAGCATTTCAGAACAAAGTCCTTTACCTTACACCTGAGGAAGTGACCAATACCAAATAATATTAAAACCACACCGAATGCAAATGAACGGAAACACTGACCAGCTTCCTCCCACTCCTCCTCCTCCTCCTCCTGCTCAAACTCCTCTGCAGATGGGAAGCTGAAGATTTGGGTGTACGGTGTAGCAGCTGGAGCCTTTGTGCTCCTCATATTCATAGTGTCTATGATATACCTAGCTTGGTGAGTGCACCACTTTAATGTGCCCCACGTCTGTGACATGTGATCATCTCCTTCATTAATCAAATCCACCCCCGCCCTTTATTTTTCCCTGTCACAATTTGAAGTCCAACTCACCCTCCCCTCCTCATGATGTTTGTCTTATTTTTTATATATTTTCTTTCCCCTTTTGCCTTATTCATGCCATGTGAGAGCAGCAGCTCCTGTGCGAAGCTGCATCGTTCTCTTAAAGCACAAGAGTCTGAAGCCAACGGGATGTGGGCCTGTGTGGGTCATAACAGCCAGCAGGTGGCGTTCACCTGTCCTGAGTGTCAGGAACAGGCACAAAAAAACAACAACAGCAGCGGCAGCAGTGACTGATGAGGGTGTGGAGGGTTTTTACTGCCTTTTTACCCCGCCCTCCTCACCCCACAGACCCTGACCCCCTCACCTGTGACTGCTCTGAACAGTGTCACATGACCTGCCTTAATAACTTCACCAAAGTGTCGCAGCAGGTGAGATGGAGAAGACCAGCTCGTCCTGTAGAAATTAGTGTGGGTAGAAAAGTAGACGTGGCATTGTTGACTTCTCAAAGACAGCGACATGCTCGTACCAGACTGGAGAAACTTCAAGACATTTAAGACATATGTACGGTAATCTATTGAGGGATTTACTTACATACATTTTAGTGCAGTTGATGGTGTTTAATTTTTTGATCAAACACTGCACCCGTGTGGACACAGAGAGAAAGGCAACACCATTTACATTGTCCACACACCACCATCATCCTCATTATAGTTCATTATGTCATTTATACTTTTTTGTTTCCTTTTCAGTTTCCTTTTTTTTTACCTCTGAAAAGTCATTGCGTTCTTAAAGACTTTTTTTTTTCAAATTTGTTTTAATTAACCGCTCACAAACAAGCACTGCTTGCTGACGCATGTTTGTCTTCTTATGTTCCCTTTAGTTATGTGTGTGCTTGTGTTTGTGTTTGAGAACTTTATCTAGTTTTATCTCTAGACCCGGAGTCCCCAACACTCACCAGTGCGTAGGTCATTTGGTACCTGGCCGCAGCGGGACACAGGGAAAAATGTATTTCAGTTTTACCAATTTACTTCATTACAAAATAATCCAGTCATATCCCTTTACTGTTTTTATTCAAAGATAATCTGACAATGTTTCAAAACAACAGGTCATTCAGACTCTGATACTAACAGAAGAAAGTCTAAAAGAGGTTTGATTTTGAAAATGTAATAATCCCTTAACAATGGTATTACCAGTTCACAAAAATGGCAGACTAGTCCTTGGTACAAAAAGGTTGGGGACCACTGGTCTAGACTGTTTGTGTTCATATAAGAATGGACGGTAATTATATCTGTTATTTCTTGTTTTGATAGAAGCACGACTCTTAGAAAGAAAAAGTAGAGTGAACTAGAGAGGCTCATATATAGTTTGTAATATAGAACAGCAGAGGTGAAGTATGTTTATATTAAGTATATCTAAATAAAAATCGAATTCAGTTTGAAGTAAGAATTTGAAGTGCAGTATAATATGGCATAACATGTTTCTGAAAGAAGAAAGATTGTATAATATATAAAGGTAAATAAATATGTAAAAAATAAAGGTAAGGCTTGCAAAAGAAAATCACAGTGGAATTTAAAAAAAAATCTAGTTTGAATTTATCAGAACATTTTCATTAATTTACACAGTAAGTTGAAAGTAAGTTTTCTATATTTTTTTTTACAGCAAAAAGCCAAAAAGACCTCAGAGACAGAGACAACAAAATAACCGGCTGAAGCCTCTGACTCTGGCCTATGATGGAGACACTGACATGTAAACGTCCAGAGGACGCTTGAATGACGACCTCACCATCACCAGGAGGACGAACAAACACCTCGACATCCTCATGTTTGTCTCCTGTCAAGGACACGATGTCACAGAGTGGAGACAGAGAGTCACTGGTGAAGTTAGACTCCAGTACAAAAAAGAAAAAACAACAACAACAACTCCTCTTTTCTAACCTTAAGTGATACTCCTTCCGTTTGTTAAAGCCTTTATGTCCTGCTCATGGCTGGGTTTCTGTCCAACCAGGGAAACCGAACAGTCAGAGTCACATCATCAAGTGAGAGGTTTTACGATAAAAGTGCAATGAAGTTTTAAAGAGAAGTTGCTACTGCAGCTAGATACTGCCGAAGGTGGCATCAATGCTGCCATCTAGTGGCTTTCATCTGAAGGTGGCATCAATGCTGCCATCTTGTGGCTTTCCCATCTTGTTTTTCCCCAAAACTATTTTTAGGTCATATAACATTAGGCTAAACCCATGCATTTCGTTATTGGGTTTTCATTATCGGAGGAAAAACCGATAACAGATATTATATAATTATGCTAACATCGGGCCGTTTGTGAAGAAGCTTTAACAGAATTTACATGTGACGATGTGACATTGATTTATTGTTTTCTCCTGGTTTGACAGAAACAATGTTTCAATATTCTCACAAAATCAATTAGATCAGCTGAGTAGAGATTTTACTTTTCGCCCTCTGTTTATAAACTCTTTTTTTTTTTTAGTTTTTGTTGCTGAACAAAGAAAAAAGAGAAAAAGTAGCTAAAGTCTTAGGAAGGACTGACTGTTCCCACGTTTGCCAAAAGTCACTGCAGAAGGAGAAAAGACGGATGAGGGGGTTCGAGAGAGTGAGAAGAAAATCTGCGTTAAAAAGGTTTGGACTCATATTCTGCAAACAGAGGATCTGAATCTAATCTCATTTACAGTCTTAAACTACAGGAGGCTTTCCTTCTCCTCTGTCTTTCTTCGTTTTTTTCTTTTCTTTTTTTGGCTTGATTTCGAGGCTCACAGGCTGCAGGAGTTTCTGGGATGAACTGCTCAGTGATCACCTGATCTGATCAGATCCTCAGCACCTGTCTGACTCCACACGTCTTTGTTTTATCGCACTATATTAGTGCAGCATGAGATGCACACGTGACTTCTGCCTTTTTATTGCCATTAAATGTTCGAATCACTGCCTCTTAGACAAGAGAGAAAAACAGAGCAGCTCAGTATTTCAAGGACAAAATAGGTCACTTATTATGACCCTTTACTGGCCCACAAGTAGACTTCACATTTGGTCCAGATTTATGGAAAAAAAAATAGAACTGACCCAGATAAGCCCCTATGTTGAAAAAACAGGCTTCCAAAACTAGTCTTTTTTAAAAAAAAAACAATGTAGCCCACATGGACCAGATACATACAGTATGCAAACAGACTGGGTCTACACATTTATGTTGTATGATTTAATCCTGGCCAAAAGACACTTCTGTTAGTTACTTTATTGGAATGTAGAACACATTATGAGTTAATAACTGGGCCAAACGACTTCATTATAGAAAATAATTTTTCAAATGTCTCCAAATCTTCACCATAGGAGTGACTTTTAGTATAAACTGTGATGGAATGTCTTTATTTCAAGACTGTGGTTTTATAATTATATTTTTTTTTTCCATGAGTTTGGTCTTAAGCAGGGGTGTCAAACATATGGCCCGTGGGTCAAAACCGGCCCGCGAGGGTGTTCAAAACCGGCCTGCTTGATGATTTTTGAAAACAAAAAAAATACATAAACACTGTTGTTCAGGAGATTTTTTGAAAATTATATTTAATTAAAAATTATTAAATAATCATAAATATCTAATATACGTGTACGTCTTTGCCTGAAACTGGGGAAAACATGGAATGATTGTTATTTGTAGTTAATGATTGAACTGGTCCGCTCCTCTTGAAATCTAATTATGTAAGTATGCGGCCCATGAACCAATAGAAGTTTGACACCCCTGGTCTAAAGAGGTTTTTTTTTTTTTTTTCTGGTCTGGGATCTTCACTGTAAACAACACTGGTAGCATAGCATTGCTTCACTCTGTTTAAAAGGTGGTGGTAAGGTGGTAATTGTTTTATTTTTTCTATTTTTGATGTTCTTGTATGAAGTACTGAGTCTATTGGTTTTACTAACATTCAGACACTGGGTGCCCTGAAACATCAGTGGGAACAAAACCTACAAAAACTGAAGCCCTTTGACATTATTCTAAAATATTATCTTACCAAATATTACAAACTAGGCCTTGGTTTACAGCCACATCTCAAGTTAACTTTACATTGTCCTTTTTTCTTACTGAGTGTTAAAACTCCTTTATTCAATAAAACAAGGAAATCTGAAAGTATTAGACAAGTAGGGCTTCATACCTATGACGCAGTAATGGGGTCACATTGGGAATGAAAAAAAAAAGTTTGAGATTAGAATTATGCATTTACTGTATGTGAAAAAAGTTGTAAATTTATGAAAAATGATCAAAGTTCAAGTCAAAATATGAGTATAAACAGAAAAAGATGAGAAACTAGCCAGAACACTGGAGCCGACGGTGATGTGATGGTGATGATCTATTCTAGAAGAAGTAGTTTCTCCTTATCTGTGATCCCAATACTAAAGTTTAACTTCATAAGATTCTCTGTGTTTCTCATTCTGACAACATTATGGTTAAAGCTGTGTGCTTTTCTCTCGTCTGCCCCGAAATACATCATCACTGAAACTTAAAACGAGTAAACTTACAACTTCATTCTTGTAAATCTATTATTTTAGTCTTGTAAGCTTCTTTTTTCCCCCTCTATGTTCCTATAATTTAGGGATGTCCAATATTATTGGCTGACTGATAATATTGGCTGGTATTAGAGCAATATAGTAATATCTGTAAGATACGTGATTTCTTTCACAAAATGACATGTGCCCTAAAAATAGATTAACGCCCTGGCGACAGACCAGTCAAATATTGCCAGGCGCTCAATAGTATATAATATAATTTGGGAGGGGTGGGATGTGTGAAAAAATTTCTTACCCCTAGGGGGCGCATGGCTTTAACCCTTCACCTTATTGAGCAGGCGGCACTTAACTTCCTTAACCATCAGACCACCCCTGTCACTCTATATCAGTATTTGGACAATATTGGCATATTGGATATCGGCAAAAAGTTAATATTGAACATCCCTACTGTCATTCCATAATTTTAGACATTTTTTTCTATTCTCAGTGTGGCTCTAAGACTTCATCGTACATAAGATTACAGGTTTGTAAAATAGATGAAAAGTATTTTATATTGCTACGCTTTTTGTTGTTCGGGAAACCTAAAGTTCTACTTCGTCCCTGCTGGATGCCATATTTTCAGTGTTTTCAACTCAGCAATTGCAACATCTGTGACGTTTTGGTGAAAATACTGGACTTTAATTTGTCCGTAAAAAATTGTTTATTAACCATTGATCCGGATGAGATCTATTACCTTTTGTATCTGCAGGAGCCGGTTATTGAAACGCTAACGTTTTGACTTAAATAACAATCACCTCATGCATTAAAAGTTCTTTCTGCCTTACTGAGAGTAAGAGACAGAAAATGAATACTAACAGTCGTATGACTCAAATGAGCCTTAAAATGAACATTGACCACCACACAGTTCACACACTGTTGGCTTAACACAGAGTAATGAGGAAACGCCTGTGTTTAGGCTGTTCTTAATAGGAAAACCCTTCGTTCTTTAATCCTAGTATTGAAACCAATCTCTTAGATCCTCTGATTTTAGGCAAAATACTTAATATCCTAAACAGCAAAATACTGTACATCCAGAGCAAGGTTTTATTAGGCCTGCATGCAGTAATGATGTAGGGGCATTTAGAGGCCTAATCAGTGTAGCCAGACTGGAGGCCCCTTCTTTATCCTGGCTCTAATGTAGAGCTAGAATACAGTGGAATTCATTCCAAATACTGGGCCGGACAAGGTCATCAAGGTCAACGAGGGCAGAAGAGATTGACTTTGTGATATGATGTAGCCCACAAGCTTGGATTTCTGATGTGGATGTTGAAAGTTGATCTTTTCCCTCACTGGGCCAACATAACATAGCCCAAATTATGGATGCTTGCAGATCAGATGTGGGCCACCAGGGGCCTATACTTCAGTGCTAATGTACAAGTTAGCAAGGTAACAACGTTACTGTGTGGGATACACTAAAAATAACTGAAAATACAAATATATGTACGTAACATAAAAAAACTACTACGAGAACACGCCTACTCTGAGGTGGACGTCAAATTAAAAACTGGTGTAAGAAAGAAGTTTACCTTTTAATGTGGGGTTTGTATATAATGTTTTTTTGGGGGGGGGCCGCGGGGGTAAAATGAAAGTGTGTGTACATTAATTTTGTATGGCAGAGAAAATGTTTAGTTTGAGCGTGTGACATCTATGACTGTGGTTGTCATGATGAAGTGGCCTGCTGTGGAAAAAAGAAAACCCAATTGAAACGAGTCAGTTGTTTTTTGTACAGGTTGTGTTTATGTTCGAGAAGAGATGTTCAAAATAAATAGGACACAGTTGGTAACGTTCACGGACTGATGACACGTTTGTTAATTCATTTTCCGTGGTGGTGTTAATGCGGCGCTGACTGTTAGCTATCTTCTGTATCTAGTCCTGACTGTCTTATTTTTTTGTCAACAACTTTTCAACATTTAACTTTTAGTTCAATGAGATGTAGCTGTATCAGTCATCGTTACTATCTTTAACTGATTTGTAGGTTTATATTCAGTTACTTTTGCTGTTTGCTATCTTGTTTGACCATTTTTTTACCCTAACCAACAGCTACTGTTCTGTCATTTCATTGGCTGACAGGATGAATCATCACCAACCATCTTCCACTACTTTTAAACCTGCCATCTCCAGGTTCTTTCACTACATCCACAAATCTTCCTCTCTTCCCCCCATCTGAAAATATGCTCTTCTAAGATAGCGAGACGTTGTTATTGCAGCTAATGACCAGCAGATGGCAGCTTCTGATGAGACTTGGAAAAAAAAAAAGTTGCCTGTTAAAAGTCTTTTTGTGAGGTTTCTCCTCTGCTCTGCTCTGCTCTTGTCTTTCTCTCCTCTGTTTCTCCCCTGGTCCCTCCTCCTTTCTCCTCCTCCTGCTCCTCCTCTCTGATCCTCGGAGCAGCTCCATAAAAACCTTCTCTCTGCCGTGACACTCACATCCACAACCTCCATCCCACCTCCTCTTCTTCTCCCCTCTCCTGTCTGTCTCCTCCAAACTCACTCTCCCTCCTGAATGAAGTGGACAGGATTCTCCTCAGTTCTGACTCCGTCTCCTGAACTTCAGTGCACCTGATACCTGCTCAGGCTGGACCGGGGATTTCTCCCGTTTTTATTGGCGGCGTGACATGAGGAGACAGTTTCCACGCACAGACATGAAGACCAGATGTCTGTGGACGTCCGTGCTGATGCTGCTGCTGTTGTCCATCTTCTCTGTGGTGAGTCCATATTTCATGGTTATTTCCTTTTTTCCCCCTTCCCTTGTGTCCAATGATAAGTATTTTTAAAACTATCTGGTATGGGAACAGTCAGGGGGACGTCCACTAGGAGACATTTTTTTCACAAGCTGGAAGTAAAATGTGTAGCGTAAAAATGTATTTTTCACTGTTTGTCCGCCCCTTTCATTCATTGTCTTTGTCACTCAACTAATGCCCCCTTCTCACCCTGTCTGATCTTCTTGTCCTCCTTCATTACGTCCTTAAATCATCTCCC